TTTCACAAACTTGGGCTGTGCCAGAGGAAGAAGAAGAAGATAGTAAGAAGAAGAAGAAGAAGAAGAAGAAGAAGAAGAAGAAGAAGAAGAAGAGGAGGAAGACTCACCTTTACCGACGGACGGCGGGGCGGGGCGATGGCGATGGCGATCCGAGGCCGGGGCGGACGTGGGGGGGGCAACGCAGTCTCGACCTCGTCCACTTTTGACGAAGTGTCGGAGTGACGAAGTGACGGGTTGAGCTGCTTGAAAGCAGCTGGAGGCAGGAGGCGGGATGGTGGGGGCGGTGGCTGGGGAACGTATGGATGGCAGGCCGATGTTTGGGTGGTTTCCCGCCCAAATGTTCAATTACGGGCGGCCTATCTGGGCCGCAGAGCTCACCAGATGGACGGCCCAGATAGGCCGCCAGGCCTACCGGACCCGGTTCAATTTTTTTTTGGGGCCGGGAGGCCTCCACAACCCGCATGGAGGCCTCCCGGCCCCAAAAAATTCAACCCCCCCCCGCAATCAAATTGCGCAAATTGCAACTGGGGGGCAACCGGGGGGCAACCGGCGCGGTCCACCGGCCGGTAGAACCGGCCCGGTTCCGGTGGGGGAAGGGGGCCCCGGTGGGACCGGGTATTCAGCCTTGGAAAAAAACATAAATGAAGTTTAGTGAACTTGTTACTGTACCACAAAGGCAACTTCTCTTCTGCCACTTCCAGATTTGAACTGGTGAGCTGTTTATCAACAGGTACGTGTGTGTGTGTGGAACTCAGTAAGTCCTTCTCAAAACCACCCATCGTCAACAGGCTGTGCTACTTCGTTCGTCACTCTATCATTCCTCCTCTGCCACCCTTGTGGGAGGGGGGTGGGGATAGAGAGAGCTACGTGTATGTACCGTTCAGGAGTTGAATTCACTGCCTCTCTCTCAATACCATCCACTATCACCAGAGAGACCCAATCAATCCTTCAACGCTCTCATCTGCCCGGTGAAACTTCTCCCATCTGGGTCTCTCATGTGTGCACAAATTTGTAGTCATGTGTAACTTTGTAGCGTCATTTGTCTCTCTCAATACCTACCACTCCCGAAACAGTTTGTCACAGCCCCTCGTTTGTTGGCCTCTTCTCCCTCTCTGCTTACGGTTAACCGGGAAGTTCTGTTTGACGTCGTTCTTCGATATACATGAAAATGTGATGAAACAGTCTGTCGCAGTCTCCCATGTCTTGTCCTTTGCTCCGGTTCTGGAGTTCACTGGGCAGTTCTGTGCACTTCAGATGGCCGATGGTTCCCCCGGCATGCATCATTTGACTTTCGGTCATTCTGGTGTTAAACCACCAGTACCTACAGGTTGGTGCGGCCATTAACGCGGTAGCCGAATCGGTCTGCCCCGCGGGTCCATATTCATTCGACCCGGGGGGGTACGAAAAGTGCGGTAGGTACTGGTGGTCTAAACGGCCAGTGACTCTGAGTCTCATTTGCCCGATGCTGGATTTTTCCCGCCCCTGCACTTCTGAACCGTTGTAGGGGTCGTGCCCTCTGCTGGCAGCCATATGCGTCACATTTGCGCCCTGATGTTTTCGACAGGCAAAACAAGTTTCGGATTTTTTATTTTTTTCCCCTTACTCAGCGGCGTGCAATCTTTTTTTTTCCTTTTCTTTTTTTCTTTTTTTCAAACCAAACAGGGCCTTACGGTGCTGGCTCCGTATCCGTTCTCGGTAGCATCAGTCCGATTCCTTTGCCCCCAGCAAGTCACAAAAATGCAACATATCACTCACACAAGCTTCCTTCCATTTGGCCGAAGGACCCCTGAACAGCATTGATTACCCCATTGAATCCATTCTCATGGAGGATTGACCATGAACTTGCCTTTCGTTTTTTTTTCCGGTGGTTGGGTGATCTGCATTCTACACCGCAAGTTGGAGCTGTGCCAGTCCTTCCACCTGAAACTGGTGCCATTTATGCCAGCCACATTGCCACTGACCAGCCAAACTCTCTTGAACTTGGTCATGATTGCCTGTTGCTTTTCCCCATTTCCATCATTGGCGGCCCATACGTAGTTCCGTGGACTTCTGGACCCGTCCAGAGTTCTGTTGCATCTCTCCTTGCATACGTAGTCCCGTGGACTTGAAGCCGTCCAGAGTTCTGTTGCTCGTCTTTTCTTTTCATGCGGAGCTGAAGGGCCGCCGCCTGGTGGCGCCTATGGTCGCCTCCCAGACCCTTGCTGCCTTGCAAAAGTGAGATGGAGTGTTAATCCATTGAAGAAGTTGGATAGGGTGTTCAGGGAGAGAGGGGGAAAACAGGCGTTCCCAAAAGGCCGGAGGATCTAGCCCAGTACTCAGTAGCGTCTCTGCATTTCACTAAGCAGTGTACCATATCTTCTTGTTCATTGTCGGAGCATACCACACATAAATCTGAGCATACGACTCAGTAGTGCCTTTGCGTTTTGTCTTGTTCTGATGTGTAGCCATTGGTTGACAGGTAGTGCGACCTAGATGCATCTTAGATGTGCCGTCCAGAGGTCTGTTGCGTCCTAGATGTGAAAATGCAATGTTGAAGGAGTGAGTGACAAAACTGCTCATGAATCTCGTAGAACTCGTTGTCACACTGGTATCTGTGAATTAAATGATGCTGCTTGTCCTTCCTAGCATGTGAATGTGTGATGGATGGACCGTAGTGCAAAGGCCAGGTCTCAGGACAAGGCATCGGTGAGCAGCTTCGGCTCGTTGGGCGTGTGCCGAATATTGAACTTTTCTTGATGTAGGCGATCTAACCTACTATCGTGCAGGTGACCATGTCTTCCGCCTTGTAGAAAGATGAGCAGGTTGTTGTCGATGACCTACACAAACTTCGAATGCCCGACAAGAAGTGGCACCATCGCTTAAGAACCGTGATGAATGCCAAGAGCCTCCTTCTTCCTGGCATCATCGATCAAGTGCTTGGGGCGAACCCTCCTGCTTAAATACTCACTAGGGCGGAAGGCTTCACCGTCGTGCTTCTCTATCATCGTGCCCCGTATCATAGCTGGGTGCGTTTGTAGTGACCTGCATAGGCAAGCTAGGGTGGAAGATGAGCAAAACCAGGGCCGCCGCCAACATAGCTGCATCGAGAGTCCAAAATGGCACTCGAGCATCCTTGTTATGATCTTGGTTGTCCGACGATTTTTACCGCCACTCACACACAAACAATCTCATACACGCCCATACATGCATAAGAGAAGGGGGAGAGGAGACATAGTCCACACTGCACACAGATCGGGGTAGGCAGCGGAATACAGCTATGGGGAGAAGACACACAATGTTTCTCTCTCTCTGACAAACTCCCAACAACCAATCACAAGTAGAAGCTGCGAGGATAACAATTGAAATTACACTGATGATGAGCCAACTCAAACAATTATCTCTCAGAACTCACACCCCACTCTCTATCCTACACCCAGTTAGTAGCACCACATCAGAATGGCCTCCCAGAGGCCAGCGCCAACCACCCTGATGAAGAACAGGTTCTG